TCTGGCAGGAAGGGGGGGCCGGGTCAGGGAGGTGCCCCCAGCTGGCCCCGAGAGCCGGCTCCGCGGGCTGTTTTCCTGGCCCCCGGCACCTCCTCCGTGTCTGCTCATCCGCAGCCTCGTTTTCCAGGCCATTAGCTCAGCAGACCCGCTGCCCTCGCCACGGCCCCGGCTGGGGGACGGCGCCATGACCCCCAGGCAGGAGGGGGGCAAGGGGCCCTCCAGTGTGTGTGGGGGGGGGCACTCCAGCCGTGACCACATCGCTGGCCGCCTGTCCCAGCACAGGCTGGTCCGGGGAAGAGTGGTGTGGCATGGGGTCCCCTGGGGAGGCCGAGGGCAGGAGACTCCTGGGCAGGCAGACCCGCAGGGGAGAGAGGGACTGGGACCCGGGCCGCGGGCTCAGCCACCCTGGCCTCTGTGGGGAGCCCGCCAGGCTGCGGGGTGGAGTGATTCAATGAAGGGGGGCCGAGAGGGAAACTGAGGCTCGGGCAGCCTCCCTGCTCTCCGCGCCAGGCGGGAGGGAGCCTGGGCCAAGCTGTGACGGCGACAAGTTAATTTGCAGCCCGGCCTGGCGGCGCCTGGGTGAGCCAGGAAGCTCCGGTCTCATTACCCGGAGCCGCTTTAATCGAGATTTACGGCTTCACAAACACGCCACGGGCTGCGGCCCCCTGGGAACCGGCAGGGAGCGGGGTCAGGAACCAGCCCGGAAGGAGAGGGGGCAGGAGGGAGGTCGCTGCGCTGCCCCTGGGTCACCGGGAGAAGGAGAGGGACGCGGTGAGGAAGGCAGGGTACACGGAACAAGCCCGGCACCCCCACGCGTGCAGTGGTGGGGACACGGCGCAGAGAGACCTCCGTGTCACCTGCAAACGGTCCATCCATCGTGCAGGCTGTGCACGCTCCACAGGCTGCCCACTGACGGGCCTGAGCACCTGGGACCCCACGGGGCGCCCTCCGCCCAGGGCGGGAGCCCAGCCTGTCCCAGATGTGCTCCCCCCGACGGGAACAGGTGTCAGAAAAGCCCTGAGAAGTCCTGCCCCAGGGACTGCCCTGCCAGCTCCCCATCCCATCGGGCTTGGAGCCGA